GAGGAGAAGCAACTACTGAATAATCTGGTGAAGATGAAAAACCCAGCCCTGTGGGCAATGGCACTATTATTCTTGGAGTCGATTTTAAAAACAACATAATGCACAACCACATGATAAACAGTCCTGAGTTTCTTCAATACCTCTTAATCCCATGACATACAGCACTCCTCTTACTGTAACTGAAGTCACCTTGTTTTAGAGATACTATTAAAGAGTATTACGAGAAACAGTTTCATTCTGTTACATTACCACGTATCAAAACCCCATGGGTCTCAGCAAGTATATGAAACTCTCGAGTTTTTATTGTTAATGCATCCACGGGCTTTTAAGAATCTAAGGGTGAAGAGCTTTGGCATTTGTGTCTCCAGTCATTAACTCCTACTGTCTCAAAATACCTGGTCTCATTTCACGTAGGGGACAGAACATGTCCTGGGGTGGGGAGGCAGTGAAAAACAGAGGGGGTCTTATGATGGAGCTTTCAGTGAAAGGTAGCGATGGGATCGACTCCTCCTGCACCACCCTAGCATACAGTATTACCTGTTCTAACACATCCCTTCCTAAAATACATGGGCTTCCAATAACCACCATTTGTAGAGTATTTTCCTAGGGAAAGCAAAGAAAGTATTGGCCAAGAAGAGAGGAGAGGAGCGAAGAAAAGCATAGCTCATCTCTATTCCCTCCCCTTCCTTCTCTCCTCACCAATGAAGTGAGTAAGACAAGCACATACAGCCAGCCTCAGCTCTGGGAAGAGGATGACAAATGTTGAGGCAGAAGAAAGAAACCACACAGTATAAAGCCAGACATAGAGCACACGGAAAGAAAAAAAAAAAAACACCACAAAAAAAAACCAAAACAACACTAACACTGCAAACATTGTAGTACTATACGTAGCAATTTTAGTATGTTTTTTTTTAAATCACATGCATGTATAAACTTATAACTACATTGTTGACTATTAGTTCTTAAAAACCCTTAAGTCAGTCAACAGTCTCACATCAGAAATTCTGATTGACAGTGGAAATCTATTAAAACACATAGCTGTTTAGAAACATATAGGCATCTTTTTATCGCCATAAAAGCTCTTAAAGCATTACCAACAACAACATAAAACCCCTGGGTTTAGAGCTAAATCTAGTTTCATTATGGAGCATGCCCAACCCCAAACTTAAGACTTGTCACAAACTAATACAGTTTACAAGAACTTTCAAATTTGGTCCTACAATTAAAAACATATAAATATGCACCATTTAAATTTCCATCAGGAATTATTAAAATGTGATATAAAAAATATCATAGCAGAGTATCTCAGAAACAGGAATTTAATAACTTTTTAAAATCTAAAAAAGAGCTTAAGGCTTTGAGTGCATTTATCCTACTTTCCTACATTTTAATTGCCTTTAGCCTGAAAAAAAAGTTCAAAATTCCTGGTCCTAGTTAAATACTTACCATGATACCACCATTTTGTTTTCTTTGGATTCTTGTTACACGTTCTTACATAAAATGAGTTATCTGGAGGTCGCCTCTGCAACAGAAGAAAAGATCTACAAATAATCAAACAATCCTCATATTGTAATACATGAGCTATTTAATAAGCTTACGAAAGGCTACCACGTGAATGCAGTGCAAATGAGGTAAAAGGCGGGGCTAGACCTTTGTCAAGAAAAATCTCCTAAGGATCCAGGTAACAATTCTTACTGAAGATACGCCAAGCAAAAAATTCATGAAAAATAACTAACAGTTTTGAAATAGATACGGGGAGAAATAAATAACAACAAAAAAAAACCACCACCAAAGAAAACAACCTACAGGAAAGGAACAGCTGAAAAACAAATGAAATTCCTTTGCAGTTTGGAATCTAATTCTGATATATTAGATCCAATTCAAATCCGTAAGTCTCAGCTCGGAGTGGGGGAAAAAATGAACTTCAAACACTTGTATCTGATCAATACTTCATATTCTTCAGCTTTCTTCACAAGTGTCATCATTATGCAAAACCAAAGTCATGGGACACAATACGAAGCCAGTTTGGGGGTATTTTTCGCCCACACACACATGACTAGGACTGATGTGTTTGTGTTTGGATAGCACATGTGTACAAGCTCTGACCACATCTAACTGTCACGGATATTCCACTGCAAAAGCAATGGCCAAGAGTAAATGCACAGTCTCTTCACAAACAAGGTCTGAGCTATCAGTGCCACCCATCTATGACCAAAAAAGCAGCTTAGCACCGTTTACTTTCCTGAAATGACCAAGATGACTGAAATAGTACAGCTGCAAAGCCTTACAAGCATCTGCATCAAAGGCATTTCAATAGTCAATTTTCACCGCCTTTAGAGACAGAATCGTTTTACAAAGCATTGTCCTAAAACAACTGAACTTCATAATTAGTACAACTAGAAGGGTTCCATTCACTCTTCTTTTCCAATAACGAGCAGGTTACCATGAAAACAGTGACTCACTCCACTGTTTATTTTGCGGTTCTAGCCGAGTATTTTTTCAGTACTAGAAAAGTAGATATAGTAGTTTTGCCTATTTTAGATTTTGAGAAATGAAAATCTCACTTTGCAAAGTAGAAAACTATTAACTTTTACTTTATTCTACTCCAACAGTGCTAAAAAAGCCCATACCTTCTCTTTGCAGCTGGAAAGCATGCTAATAATGCTAAGACAAACAGATTGCACTGAGAGAGCTGGAGACCAGTCTTCTGTTAGAATGGATAAACAGATATGACCATTGCTATAAACATGAGGATGAACAGGAATATTGTCTCCAGTAAACATGACCTAAAACGAAAAAAAAAAAAAAAGAAAATTGTAATTTATTGTCCACACTCTAAATAAGGCATTATTGTTTTCCCAAAAGCAATACAATCTTATTTAAGAAGTGGATCTGCCATTTTCACTTGGCTAAATAATACATTTTACCATGTTAGGTTCATTCCTTTTTGGAAGCTATTAATTGAAATGTAAAATAAAACAATGGAAGCCTAAAAAGCTAGAGAAGATGAAGTTAAATAAATGGTTAAATGTAGGGTTTTTTTTCTATGAATATTTATACAGCACAGAAAAAATGCAAAAATAACAGCATAAAGACATGAAAATAAACTTTTTCTATCTTGCGGCCTCAGTCTTTCATGTGCTAATAAATACAGCTGACTAACCAAAACACTGGATTTTAATGATTTCATAAGCCACAACGTTATACACCAGGAAACGCAATGAGATTCACAAATGAGTATTTCTATAACCCTGAACATAACAGAAATTAAGTTCTGAACAACTCCTCCGGGTTACAGCATAAAAATAAAACGCATCAATTCCATCAACTATAAAATAAAGGACTTGTACTACAGACATATGTTACCATATAGGAAATATTTTTAGATAATTACTTCAAATGGAAAATGTTTTTATTTGACATGGACGAATATGGTAGAACAGCACTTAGAACCTCCATAACTCCTTTCTATTAAAAGATAATATCACAGTCAAAAACAGGTTAGAAAAGCAATTTTGACAACTATTGCTCTTACGGCAAGTTTTCATCAAACACATAGTTGGCTCAGGACCAAAGGAAATGGAGTAAAAGTGAAACCTGCACAGCAGCATTATGCTCCTGAGCTCCTTATCCAACATAAGCACTGTCATCTTTTATGCAAGGACATAATACATCTCTACCACTCATAACCATAATATCCAGAAGCCTCTTAAGTGTTTCCTAAGTTGACATATGTACGTGTACAATTCTGTATATATTTACACAACACACCCACCTCTTCGCTGACTACAAGAAAGAAGCAACACCATCATACAGGAAACTGAAATTAGAGAGCTTAATTTATTTGCCCAATGGCAGATAGGTTTTTAAGGCAGCAGAAAAAAAGAATGCAGAATGATCTTTCACAGGTCTTCAAACTGGTATTTCTTACGCAATGAAGAGCTTACTTTCATAATCCAGTAATGTATTTCACTTCTAACTAATGCCTTCCTTTTATAGGAAAACCAGAACTAGGCATACTAGGTAAGTAAAAGCATGCACACTTTGACAGACAATAAACATTTAAAGGTAGAAAACAACTAAGTGATTAAGGAGCAGAAATGTAAACTCTCCTGCAAATCTACTTACTGTGAATTGAGAGAGAATTATGATCCAAAGGGTTCTAACATAAAAATGTTGCTGTGCAGTAAGTTCCTTCTATAACTGAAATTCTAGCCATCAACAACAATCAAGTACCCAGTACTTAAATTCTTAATTGTTTTCTGTGCTAAAAGTCAGTGTACATGTACAGATCTAATTTGCTGTTTTACAACAAATTGCATAGAGCCACACACACAGATTGGGTAACGAGTACAAACAGTACCTACTTGGAACCAAATGAAAGTGGCTACTCTCTTGTGGATCACTTATGAGTAATTCATTGCAAACCTGATGAGGTGCAGAAGTACGGGTGGCCAGTTTGTTCCTTAAAACCTAAGACTGGAAAGTCAGCATTCTAGTTTTTATCACGGTACCTAAAAATACATAATGTTTATGGTTTAAGTGTCTCTCACAGCTCTGTGCTTCAGTTTCAACACCAAGGAGAAAAGTGTCAGAGATCACTCTTGGAACTTTGAGCTGAAACAGGAGAAGAACCAAGTCACTCTTGCTTTTCTTCTTTTTTTCAGAAAAGCAGAGGTGATAGCCAAATACGACTCTTCCCAGCTATGTTTTGTAATGTTTCCCTCAGGTAATGGAGGGATGGATGTATAGAGCTCATTCTGCAACCTAGTAGTATTGGTGCCCCTCCAGTTCCTTACATTGCCATGAAAGCAACACAGTATCTCACACCTCAATTGCAACCACCAGATTTACAGGTCTCTCAAAGATGTCTTGTATCTATGAAAATCCCTACCATAAGCACAATACTTCTCCAGCTGTACTAACAATGGCAGCAGAGAAAATACAAGAGGCTAAAACTAGGAGAAAAAAAAAAGTTGAAAGCAAAAAGAGAGGGGAGGAAGAAGCAGTTTGTTGTTTACTCTGCTCCTACACCACAGTAAAGGGGATCTTCCTACTTTATCCTGTGTTGCTCTTCCGTATCATACTCATATCAGCCTCAAAGAAGCCTCCAGTTTACACTGCTCTTTCATTTCCTATGGAACCAAGTAGACTGTTACAGCACTATGCCTCACTGCAGAGTCATTTTTAAAATAAAAGGCATCTGGACAATGTGTATAATACAAACTAAAGTCACTAAACCTCACGTTAGGATATGTGGATGATACTAATACTCAGCACGTGTCATAAAGCTATAACCTAAAGGTAGCATTAAGCAAGAAGGAAGAACGCAGTTACCTGAGGCGAATCAAAAGGATACCGACTGCTGAACTTAAATAGAAGCTGAAATTTCTCCCCTTCATATAGTGTTCCTGGAGCACCTTCCATGTCTACAATCCACCTAAGGAACAGGGAAAAAAAATTGTTAGTACTGTGGACTGACAAATTATAATTTTACTCCTGGAGCACAGGACTAACCAAATCAATTTCCAATCACAGCCAAATCCTCTAAACTCGCCATTAGTATCATAACAATCACAAAGGTGAATAACACATCAAGCCCACATTTGAAATAAACAAGCTTGGTATTTTATGTACAGGCATTGATATAGTGCTGCAAACAATACAAGTAATTATGACTTGAATTCAACACAAATCCATCAGCTCCCAATAAAATGACTGTGAACGTGAGACAACAAAGCTGAAACAGAAGACCTGTTCCAAAGTTTAATCCCACACAAAAAACAGCTTGGAAGGAAACAACCTAGTGCACATTCTCTTTCATGCTGCTTTACTTTTCTGTTAAGGAAATCATCAATACAGTTTATTAAAATAAAATCTGTATCCAAGGGGGAAGGGCAACGCTCCTCTTCCACTTAAGTCTGTGAAAAACCCAGAAATTAAATGGTATATAACCCGGCAGCTAATGGAACCAAAACTGGAAACATTAATATTATAAAAAGGAAAAGGTCCCAGAAAATTAAAAATAAAACAAAGGACGATTTGCAACTGTAATGAAGATAACACCTTAACATATTACAGTATTCTTTTTCCTCTGCTTCTGCCTCTTCCATCATAATAACATGGAAGTAACTGACAGGTGGAGTTGGCAGGGGGTTTGCTACCTGTGGGGTTTTTTTATTGTTGTTGGTTTTGGGTTGGGTTGTTGGAGTTTTGTTTAATCCAGTCAAAAAGAGACACTTTGCATATTGTTCAACAGTCTGCTATCTAACTTCTGTCATTTTGGAGTTCTACTGTTGATCACTGAATATCATCCTTTGCAGCATCACTTCCTCATTTTTGCCTTTCACCCTTGATTGAGTTTTACTCGTTTGGGCAACATGATAAGGTAAAGAGTCAGCAAGAGACTACAAAAATGCTCAGATGAGATTTATATTAGACTCAAGCAAGGCAGTTGAGATTTTTCAGAACAGCAATGTGTTCAGTCAACATCTCCTCCAGCTGGCAGCCCCGATGATCCCATTCCCAATCTCTCCATCCTCCTGTCATATACACTCTCTCCATGTATTTAGGTCGTGCACATTTTTTATCTTCCCCTCTATTACTCTTTTTTTTTTTTTTTTAAATTGCATCTCTACTGAACTGCTAGCTATCACTCTCTTCAGGAGGAATGCATCTTCAACAGTAGCATGGTGATGGCTGTACCAGTGTTTTGTATCTTAATTTTGTGAAGACTCCTTCGATTTCATCCATCTGCGCTCCAGATCACTTACCTCTTCTCGTGCCTTCTGCTTTTACATTTATATACATGGTACACCAATACTCTTCAGCTTTACCAGTCCTTGTGATCCAGAACCTCAACTTTCAGGTCTTTAAAACAGTTTCATTTACCAACTGGACGACAACTCTGCCTGGACATTGTTCCTCTGACAGTCAAGGAATCACTAGAACCCATCTTTCCTGTGTGCTTTACTTTTTAGCCATCTCAAATTTCTAATCCTTGTATATCTAAAATAGATGACTGCTTAACATTTCAAATGACCCAGTTACATCATGGGATCCAATTATTTTATTCAACATCTTTCAAATCCAAGTCAGTATTGCTACACAAATCTTTACTGCACCACTTCAAATTGCAACTCGATTAATGAACTCAGAACATGCTACTTGGCACCAAAAACTCTCAAAGAGAAAAATATACAATGTTACTTGTGACAGGAAGCTTCCTGACCAGTGACAATTCCAAAATCTAGCATGACAGTAAAGAGAAAGTTTTTATTTGCAAGGTATTGAAAGGTATGAAAACTGTACAGGGCAGAAAAAAAAAAAATAATGAGGGAGTACTCTGGGAACAGAGACATCCTAAGACAAATGGAAACCCACAAATAGAAAAAAACACACAATGGATTTTCCCTTTTCCATCTCTTCATCTGCTGTAAACTTTCATTTAATAGTTGTTTTTTGTTTAAATGAGTGAAAAACATTTGCAATATTAGATTGAGCCCTTTTTTCAGAAAAGTATTTTGCTTTCTGAAAAAAACTCAAAGTAAAGCAAAAAACACAAGCTGTAATTCAGCAATTGTACAGCAGTTTGTTATTATTAGTACCAAATTCTGGAAATTGCTATTTCAATTTGTTTTAGTCGTATTCATCTACATGGAAGTATCACAAAACGCAGCATAATTTAAAAAGCAAGAGCAGTGTTTAACTCAGTATACACAAGGCTCAGAAAAGCCTCACGTAACACGGTCTGAGTGCCACCACCAAAAATGCAGATAAGAAGCAACATCAGAGGTCAGCTCTATGTTATGTTTTTAAATTGATCCATCAATCAGTAACATAGTCCACAACATATAGCCCAAGATTCATACTCTCATAAATGTTTACATCTACTAAGAATTTTTTAATATTTTCCTAAAATTAGCCTAAGAAAATTATCTAAAACAAATGTCAACACAGTCTAAATCTTTTGAATTTCAGTCAATTAAAAAAATAGTTTAAATTAATACCAGGAACAACCCCTGTCCATTTCAATGGATAGAACCCAGCATATTTAACCATGTTTCTCTTTCTGTTTTGCTAATCACACAAAAAACTACAACAGGGAGGAAAGTCCAAACAAATGTACTTAGATAAATTTGCTCTTTAAGGAGTTTCCTCCACTTGCTTGAGAAAAAGGTGGTAATGGAAATTAACAGTTACAAAATATACTGAACACAAATCATGTAGGAACTCTAAATCAGCTACTCCATTATTTCAGTAAATCTAGAGGGGTTTCAGAGGTTAGTAGCTATGAAAGATTGTTAAACTATTTTATTCTAAAATACGCAGAAGCTTTTCCCAACTGACATTGTTAGACAGTAAAATGCCTAATAAAAATTTAATGAATTCACTATCCAGTTCCTGAGACTGTCCAGCACATTACTGCAATATGCTCATGAAGTAAAACAATGCTTCACTCCCTAGACTAAGAACAAAAATTCAGAACGTTACTTGGAATAAGTGGTGGAAGTGGCGCGCAGAGAACTTCTCATTACTTACGTGTTTCAGCTTGATAGCAAAAATAAAACAGTATATATACTTACTGTGTAATTGAATTTTGTACACTCTTTTCATTTAGAGTCATTCCTGGAGGTGGATCATTTTGCAATGCCAATAGTTCTTTTTGTAATCGTTTCTATAAAGAAATTGTATAGAATATTTGCAATATTAAATAAAGTTCAACAATACACATGCACACTAAAGTACATTTCGTCAATTACTGAAAGGTAAAACGCATTTTATTTGAAAATTTAAATACAAAGTGAAATTGAAAGGTGAGAGAGAGGGAAGACTTCTCTCCTAGAAATTAAAGTGAAAGTCACAGGCCTTAAACTTACCTTTTTGGTAAAATGCAAGAGTACTTACATTTGCAAGACTGCTAAGTGAAGAACTGTTGCGTTACAAAATACACAGAGGTATCCAGGATTTTGTCGTATTACAAAGATGTCAACCAGAGCTCTACGCTAGCATTGCACATTTCATATTGCCCTGGTAGCATCAGATTTACAATTAATTCTCCAAAATTTTAACAGCACAACTCTTCCTCCTCTAAGTAATTTATGACACTTCTATCTGGCACCTGTTCAAGCCTTTTCCTTCTTCTAAGTCATCTCAGAGGCCAGAACACAAAACTTGTGACTTGCAGAACACAAACTCTTTTATAACTTTACAGTAACTGCATCTTAGAACCCACAGAGTCATAGTATTTAGAGAAGTGTTACACCAGTAGCTCAGGTAATTCTTACCTATTTTGACAGGGATAAATCGGTAACTGCAACCACACGGTTTTTGTAACAACTACCAGAACTGTTTCTTACAATCTACAGAGCAAGGGAAGCACAACCTCTGTGAAGTGCTATCATTGGCACTGCTTTCAGAGTGCATTTTCTCCATATAAACAGTTACGCAATATGTTTTGTCATTTCCAAGCCATCTAGATAACGGAAAGTTCAAGGCTTTCTCATTTCTTACTCTCCTCTTTCCTGCCAATAATTTTAAGGTTTACCGCCTACCAGTCCACTTCCATCATCCTACTAGTCAAAATGACCTTACACTCAAGAGGAATAAAAACATATGGTTTGGAGGATTAGTATCTAATTTTGATCCAACATACCATTTTTTTAAAATGTAGGTTTACCACGCATTTGTAGCTGTTTCTTACGGATTTTCCAAACAACTTTTCTGGTGTTTAGTAGAACTTTAAAAAATCCACAGGGGGGAAAAAAAGAAAAAAGTGTTCATTTCAACATAGAAGTGATTCAGTATCTAATTAATACCTTTGAAATAGGCCTAGAATAAATTCAGACACACAACTCCTAAAGAAAAGGCCCTCATGCATTCACAATTTACATTCCAAAAGAACTTTCTGTCTCTATCAAGCAGCCCTGAAAACTTGCTTTGGGCTTCTATTTCGAAAGTTCCTACCTTGAACCCCAATATGCGCTTTAAAAGCCTTTTATTTGCAAGTAATTAAACAAATACATTTTGAAGTGAAATGTTATGTCATAAAAGAATTTTAAAGGCTGTTATAATTGGTGTACAGACACAAACAAGCTGAAAAAACAACGCTGGCATTTTCATAAGAAAGCTATATACATTGCTAACGCTGTGAAAACAGATTAGATTCCTAGTGTTCATCTTGCACTTTCTGTACAGTTTAGGAAAATTTCAGATTATAAACACCAACAGTGTTTAACACCACTATTATGAACTAAACTGCAAAAGAACAAATTCCAAAACCATTTTACAAATCCTTATTTGAGTGGCAAAGATGTTTTGAAGTCATTTCTCTTTTTGACACTTTCCAGGACCTCCATCAAATAAACTTCAATGGTAGCCAATCTTGTCATATAGGTCATCATATAGACAAACATTTTAAAAGTTGAGAGATGAGAACCTTATATGACAAGGGAAATTCAAACTCTCTCCCTTAAAGAAGAGATTTTGGAAACATTAGGTAAAAAGTAGTAAAGAACAAATATATATAAGAACAGCAAATAATTCAGTAGACTCATTTACTTATACATATAGACCAACTATACAACTCTGTCTTTATAAAAAGCAGCCTAAAATCCATTTTAAAATTAAATTAAAAACAGCCACATTAAGGTATCAGTACCTGACTAAACACAGTAATTTGAAAAAAAGACAATTTTGTTTGTTCTGTATCCTCGCAAAAATCCCAGATTATCAATACTTAAAGTATCGTCTCATTTGAAGGTTGGACCTTTGGTCCTTTTCTCCACTAACCATCTTTTCAGTCTAATACAGTCTCAGTCACTCTTTTACCCATCTCACCAGTGCAAAAATATTCTCTGCAACTGTTTCACAGCTTTTCAGTTCTCACATACAAAATTTATGGTTCCTTCTAAAAACTAGGAACCCAAGGGGCAAGGGGGGTTGAAATTTAAAATGTGTACTTGATCAGCAGAGCACCACTGAAATGCTCTGTTCCTCTGACCTCAAAACATTTGTTGACACTGTCATGGGGGTCTGTCCATTAAACACAAATAATACATACAGGCAACACATTGCTTCTCATCAGTTGCAATACAGAGTATATTAAGATCCAAAAATGCATTCCAGAGAAATGACAGGGGATATGATTTACACTTTGGGTCAAAAGTATTACAGTAAACAAAATCATATTGTTAATCACAAAAAAGAAATTATAATTTCAAAGTTAGCCAGTTCAAATAAGTATCAACATAAGTTCAGTCTGATCTGTATTTACAGCTCTCTAAGAATATCAATTAAAAAAAAAACCAAACAAGTCATTCCCCTATAAAGCTGAAAAGAAAACATACCCGTTTTCTACTGAATGTGATCTGACTATTAAGCCAAAGAAACTCAATCATGTAAGTCCCTCAGAAAAGTAAGCCTATAACATTGCTAGTGTTGTAATGAAATGAAAACAAGCTTTAGTAAATAAATCTACCACTTTGAAATAAGGGAATCCACAAAGAAAACCTATGATTACCTATTATGCCTAGAAAATTCCAGTGCAATTCTTATTGACAGTAAATTCCTCGGCACAGCTCCACAGTGGAAAAGTACGGAGGGGATGCGGAGGTCAAGAAACCCACAACCCTTCTGGACTTGTTCTTCATTCCCAGCAACGTCCCAAACAGAACCAAGTAGCAGCAAAAGGCGTTATTCCCTTCAGCCTGACTGCAACCTCTCTAATCCTATGCCTCTCTGAAGTATCAGCTGTGTTCTCCATCACACTATGCCCTGACAGATTTCATGTATCTCAACACTGTCCCCCTTAAGGGCAAGGCCAGGGCTGGGGAGGAAAAAACCAAACACAAACACACTCCTCCAAATGAAGAGGATCTCACTCCAGAATCGCAGGTGATCAGGATAGAAGACCAACAACTGCTATTAGAGATGGCAGAGAACCTTTTCATTTTTATTCTCTCCAGCTGTACTATCTTGGATAACCTCCCTTGAAATTAAAGGACAAAACCATCATTTTATAATAAATTCCTAGATTTCTCCAGTCCCCATAATGACAGGAACTCTGAAAGTGTTAGGCATCCCAAGGGGAAAAAAATGCTTTTAAAGATTTCCTAAGTATTACTCTAGCCACGACAGATAGAAGCAAGGTGAAGTCTTTACACAAAGAGAATTACTTCTGTTGACCAACTGATACACATTTAAGATGTGATCCTTTTGGAAACACAAGTCCTTATTGGTTTTTTTTCCAAGTGGACTAATAAAATATACTATCTATTTTACAACACTACTATTCCATTAACCATGCCATACAAGTTAATCATACTTTATCTGATGAACATAACTGGGTATCTTTAATAGGTTTTCACCAGACATTTCCAAAATTTGGTTTGTTCTATCAAGAATCAACTCGATTATTTCTCTACAGGCTAACAAATAGTTGCCTACAGACCTTTTCCAGAAGATGCTCCAGAGCACTCTATAGTAACTGGAACAAAATTGTAGAGGGCATCACAGCCTACTAAGCAGAATTCATTCAAATACTGAAAAATTGTTTTAAGAGAGGGGCTAAGTAATATCTAGAAAATTGTCTTTTAATCAACTTCTCAGGTCAATGCATTCCAGTGTTTGACAACCCTCATGGTATAAAATGTTTCTTTCACATCTTACTGGAATATCTCATGTTCCAATTTGTGTCTGTTGCCCCTTATCTTCCCACTGTGGCTCAGTTTTCCCCAACGTCCTCCCACTAGACTGTCGTAGGCAACAGCAAGGTCTTCCCTTTGCCTTCTCTTCTTAAGAAATCTGAAGAAATCCAGCCAGCCTCTCCTTGTACAACACGTAGTTCAGCCCCTAACCATCTTGGTGGCCAGCTGTTGGACTCGCTCCAGGGTATCAATGTCTTTCTTGTACCAGGGCTCCCTAAAGCCAGTACTCCAGATGTGCTCTCAAGTGCCAGAGAGAGGGGAAGAATCACTTTCCTTGAGCCGTTGGCTACACGCTTGAACACACAGCCCAATATGCAGCTAAGGATATTCAGAATATATGGAAGATATTGTGAAGGGTTATTTTCTTCTTCCTCTCTCCCTCACCACAACTTAAAATAATTTGTCTCATGTTATGCCTGATTAATACACAAAAGTGGATCATCAGGAGCCAGCCAGTTAAAAAAAAACCCACAACACTCTTAAATGAAGTCCTCAAAGGTCGGATTTATACAGTTTAATTAGGAAATTGAGCTCCTGGTTACCACAGTAATCCACAAAACATCTAAAGTTTAAATGCAACAACTTCAAATTTTTGTACTAGTTGACCAAAGAAGTTACAAAAAACATTTATTTTCTCAGAGTAACACTAAGTCTAAAGACTACTGTAATATCATGCACAAATCCAGAAACACACACTCTTAGCTTCAAGGTACCTCAGTTATGTACTTCTAAAAAACCACGACTGATATACCAAGCCCACACACATTACGTACAAAAGGCATGCTGCAACTCTAAGTTTCTGAAATTAAGCATTTGAAAAGGCACAGTTTCAGGGGTAGAAAAACCTTCCTTGTATTTGACAGTCATGAATACAGAAAACTTTTTCTGGCACAAAATTCTTGAGAATTAGCAGCAACATAGATAGCAGGCCAAAGTATAATGGATTATCACTTTTCAGACAGTTTT